ATTTTGTCGCCATGGTTTTACTAACTGAAGAGTAAAAAGTACCAACTATAAATATAAGTACTAAAATACTCATCATATCATATGACAAATACAGATCAAAATTTAAAGCTATGTGCAAATTATGGCATTTAAAGATTATGACAAAAAAAATAATAATAATAATAAAAAAACAGAAGAAACCCTTTTCACAGACATTTTTTTTTATCTTATATTTATGAAAACTGCCACCACCCATATATACATGTATTTATCCTACTTGATCCCCAGATTTAACCGAAAACACTGATGGAAGGTCCAATCTGGTGATCAGACAACATTTGAAATATGTAGATTTTGTGGATGTGTGTTCTTTTTAAACTTTGGATAAGTAATGCACTTCTGAATGACATTTATATAAACCCTTTTCTTTTTTAATCAAAAGATAAAGGTTATCATTTTTCCTTTCTTATAAGTAAACAACAGCTTCCAACATCGGGTTTGAAATCGGTTAATGTTCAAAAACATTATATTAAACAGAAAATGAAAACAAAGTATGAAATTGTACTACCGTTAATTTGTTTGATATACATGTACAGTCTTTAAAAAACCTTAGCTTTTCAAAAATCTGAAACCAGGGACTGGCGATTAATACTCCTTCCTGATTCAAAGCCAGTGTTTAACATATTGTACCCTAAACTGGATGATTGGCTGAAGACTGCCAATTGTGTTCTGTTTCTCTTTCACACTGTCTGTCACCACTGAAGCACACTGAGTTGAAGTCAAAAGGCTGCATGTATCAACAGCAGGGGCTCCTTAGATAAGTCCCCTGGATCCTCTCACTGACAGCTAACTCCCTCTGTGTTGTATCTGCACACAGACATAGATACACAAAAAGTACACAAAGTAATCATGCGCCAAGTATCTGGTGGAACTTTGTGCCAGTCAGTAAATCTGGGACAACTGCTACAACTTGCAATGCCCATACTCCCATGCAGATATAAACCCAGACGGGGCATGTGTGGAGAATCAAATACAGACGCTCTGCAATCAGTGATGTTATGATTATGCAGTGCAAAAAACCCAGAGCAATATGATGAATACTTATATGTTCCCTACCTCACACAAAGTGACCCATATTGAGAAATACTTTTAGAGAGTTTGGTAGTGCCGCTATAAAAATAGCTTGTGTAAACACTTTTATTAAATGTAATTAGTGCCAAAGTAAAGCTGGCTGTCTACTATAGAGCTGTTCACTAAAGAGTCTGTATTTGCATTTGTTCAAGCATTTTCAAGTCGGCATCTGATTACAAAACAATTTCCCAACATTGCAGCAAGGCTAAAATATAACAATGCAAATACATAACATTATTATTATTTATTTTATTTTATTTTTTTGACACTGTATATAGTAAGAGATATTGGGCCTCATGCAAGAACCGTTCATACAATTAATTAAAGAAAATGTCCCATTCTCCATTTTTCTACTATTTCTAGTCTTTTTTTCAGTTGGCAATGCATTTTACAAGTTCTCCAGACTTCACGTAGGAATCAAGTCCGGAAATAAAAATGTTTTTCTATTGGTCAATACTTGCAGCTGACATATTGGTATCCAGAGGACATGGGTTTAATTTTTTTGTCATCTTGTGAAAAGGAAGAACAGGCAGAGATCAGGCTACTGTTGAAATAACATCTGGAACAGGAAAATGGATGTAAAAGTTCAGCAAAATGCTCTAATGGTGAGACTTGCATTAATTTCAATCCAAGCCACCTCCTTGGCTCTGTTATTATACTTAATGTGGCATATTTGAGTTTGGGTATGTCTGACGTCATTGAATTCAAATTTTGCCGTCAACATTTTATATATATGTTGTGAGAGAGATGGAGAGTATGGTGAAAGGATAGCAGATGTGTCCTGGGGATGTACAGTACAGCTGTGTTTGTATTAAAAGGAAATGTATCACAGCATTGCTGTTTTAGTTAATCTTGAACTCATTAAGTATTTAAAGTGTATGTTGCACTTCTTGCCTCTGTCAGTTTTTATTAGCTGTTTTCGTATCAATTTATTTTTCTTTTTATATTATTTATATTGTCTTATTTTATTTTCACTTCATAAAAACTTCCCAAACTTTTTCATAAACCTCAATTTAGTACTGAAATATTACTGTGTCCATCAGTTATTAGATCAAACTGAAATAGCTGTTGCAAACACCCAAATATTTGGAAATAAAAATAATTCAGAATAATAAGGGTGCCCAAACGTTTTCATATGACTGAATATACCTGTGGTGATAATAAAGAGAGTAGACGTAGTTAAGGTTTTGGTTTGTTAAGTTCTTATTCAAAAAGATTTTAATCTTTCCCCATGTCTGTCTAGTGTTGGTTTCCATTCTTAACACTTTGAGCCCACAGTGGCTGAGCAGTGTGTACTTTTCTACAGTTTTTTTTAGATATTTTCCCCTTTACAAAGTTTTCAATAAAAGTATGCTGCTTCTTTGATGTATGCATGCAAGACATGCTTAAAAATATAATGCACTACAACTGAAAATAAGGCCAAATTACTGTTTTTTTTTTAAGTCTAATGTTATATTTGTATCTTTTATATTGTGTTCATCCGCTGTTATTGGAAAAATTATCATTATTTACAGAAAAAAAAAAAAAGCTTGAAAACAGTCTGTGTTATCGTACTCCTTGTACTCTCAGGGGCCAGGTCACAGGAGCAGCCGTTTCAGCAGAGACATCCCTCTCCCCAGAAGCCTATTCCGGCTCTGCTGGGGGAAGTCAGAGGCATTTCCAGCGCAGCCAAGAGATGAAGTCCCCTCAGCATGACCCGGGTCGTGCCGTGGTCCTCCTCCTGGAGGGATGTGCCGGGACCACCTCCCAGGGGAGAAGTCCAAGGGAAATCTCCATAAAATGTCCTAGCCACCTCAGAAAAGGTGTTAAATATAGAAGTGCCAATAATCTTAACCTCCCTTATCCCTGCCGCTTTGCACTTGCCTGCAGTTGCAACTGTGCATGCTGTAGGTCTTGGCAGGAGGGAGCCAGCAAAATCATTGTCATATGTAAAAAACAAAGAGGAAATCTGCCCAATCAAATGCCACTGACTCCATATTCCTGCATCAACCCCTAAAGGGGACATGAAAAGACATTTTGAAATGTCTTCTCCGGGTCCATAAAAACACATGTGGACCAGTTAGGCAAACTCTCTTGATACCTTGAGCATTCTGCAAAGGGTGTAGTACTCATCAGGTGTTTGAAACATGGGAAAAGAACCCCACTGGTCCTCCTTAAGCAGAGGTTGAACAATAATCTGGACTCACAGCACCCTGGCATAGGCATTCTTGGGGAGGCTGACAAGTTTGACCCCTCTACAGTTAGAACACCCTCTCTTATGGAGGGAAACCACAACCACAATCTGCCAGTCCAAGGTTTTTGCCTCTGCAAATACCTGGATGGTGGAACAAATAGCCATGCAGGACGTGCCTGCTACCTCTAGAGTCCCACAAGCATGACAGGACTCCTTCTCCAGCTTTAATGAATCCCTTTCAACCAGTGTCCACTCCTGAGTTTAAGGGTTATGGCCAAAGCTACAGGCAGACGTGTCAAATATAGAGGCAGAGAACATGTTCCACTCAGACACCCTATCCCCAGCTTTCCATGGAATTTGACAAAACCTCTAACAGAAATTGCAGTTAAAATGTTGCTGACCGAGGTCTCTGCCAGATATTCCCGGCAGATGCTCACTAATCTCTGCGGCTGCCGAGTCTGTCCAATGTCCTCCTCATCCTGCATAATCAGTTCACCTCTTAGGTAGAGATCGTTGGACAGCTCTGCCCCTCTCTTCTACTTAGTGTCCAAGAAATGCTGCCAAAGGTTGGAAGATAGGACAACAAAGTCAGTTATTGACCCTCTGGCCTAAGGTCTCCCTGTGCATAGTTATTACTAACTTGAAGAATACATGCAACCTTTTTGGAAAGGCATGCCACTGATCTAATTGATTTCATTATTCTACATGAATACCTTTTACCAGAACAACGAATAACAGGAAATAAATCATACAATAAGCATTTGTGGTTACCGCATATGATACAAACTATCATCTCTAAATTATCTCTTGTACAGCAGTGTAGAAAATTTAAAAATGCCAAAAGGTTTATTTTTTTCCACTTGCAGGATCACAATCCTAGCTAAACCCTGTCAGTGACACAGTTTCTGAATTTGAATATTTATAAACACTTTGATTACATCATCTCTTAAATCATACACCTTTATGCATGTCTCGGGTAAACAGTTTTATGCTTTTTTTATTTAATTAAATAGAACCAATTACCTGTTGATGACATCAAAGTTCCTTTAATCTAAAACCGTAACTATTAAAGCAGAAAAGATATCCTGCTGAGAAAAAGCAAGTTCTGATCTTTACCATTCATCAGCCATTAGTCTGTTTTATTTCATCTGTGAAAAGTGAACCATGTTGTTTGCTCACACCCCCAAAGAAACACTGAAAAAAAAATCCCCCTGAGCTCTCAACAATCTCCTTCTAATGTTCAAATGATTCCCTTACCGAAGTAAACTTTTTTTTATCCATCTTTAAAATAATTAGAAAAAAAAGATACATAAAGTTATTTTGCCATTATTAAATAACCTCACATTGTATTTGATACTGTTCTGTAGTGAAGCTGTTTATGGATTCAGAAAGGTTGACTGACCCCTTGTTGAAAAAGAATGCACTCTGTGCTGAGTGGACAGTCCTTGAATTGCATCTCCTTAAAAAACTTTATAGTTTCCTTGTTTATCTCAACTTCATCTTCCCCAAAGGAGACTGGCTAAATTCAAACAGAAAACACAAAAACATGAAACCTGACTGTGAAGCTAGGTAGGATAATCTGCATTCTTAAGAGTAAAAAATGTAATCCTAGGCAATATGCTTTTCAGAGTACCTGGATTTTTTCTTTCCAAATCTTTATTTTCTGTTCTCATATACCTATAAATACTTCTTCCTCAAAATACAGACACATTCTAACCTTCATAGTTGAGTTTGAAGCCATGAGCAGAAACGGCAAAGTCGCTGGTCAACCTCAAGGAAAAAACGTTTCCTGTACTGGTGACAGGCGGAGGAGCCTGGAAGCCTGTTAACCTGAAGGAGAAAGCAAAGAAAAATGTATTAACAATAATGCAGAACCAACATTTTTGTAAAAACAAAAAAAGGAATCATTAAGAATTGCTTTGTAATTCAAAAAATTAAAATTGAGTAACGCCGATCAGTTTCACATTAAACAAGAAAAGCCACTGAACAGATTTTAACAGGAAAGGGGTTATAACTGTCACATTTCAGACTGCAATCCATTTAAAACCCATAGAAAGTTGGTACAGTCACAAATAGGATGAAAGACGGTATAAAGTTAATCTTCAATGAGCCAACATTTTAATGTGAAAGTTGTTTTTTCATTGAAATTATGTGGTATTGTGATTTTTTTCACCCTGAATTACTGATTTCTTTTATTTGCCGTATCTCTAACCAGAATAAAAAAATTATATATATACAAGAAATATGTATCCAAATTATATTTAAACTTTTAAATTAAAATATTGAATTTGAGTGTAATCAACTCATACAATGTACCTTAAGCTGTATGTAACTTAAGACCAACTTACATACAGTTTAATTCAAAACAAATTATAACATAGTATGGTTTAATACAGGTAAATATCCAACACAACACAGAAAAAAAAGGTATTCCACAACAATTGCCTTGCCTTGAGATTAAAGATACAGAACAGTGCATTCCGATATAAATTTTTGGGCTGATATTGGACTGATTTCCAATTTTATTATTATCAGTTGGGATATCTCTAAAGAAAGGCTGAGCCTGAATGCTTAGTCAGATCTCCTAAATGCATAAAAAATATACTGTATGATTAAAGGGGTTTTACAAAAACAAATTTAAAAGGTTTTTGAGTAAATATTTATAGGAAATTCAATGTGTTTACAATCAGCAGAAAAAAAAAAAGAAGAAATAAGGTAAGACCGTTTCAAATACTAAATGCTGCACAGCTGCACAGGTGGGCTCTCAGCTGAGAGATACCTAATTGAGGAAGGGCTTGAAGGAGGATATGGAGGCTGGATCTTTTTCAGGTCTGGAAAGCAGCCAAACTGTTGTGATGCTACTGCATTTTTTTTTTTCTCAAGGCTGCCAGTTCCTTTCCATTTTCTCTAAAAGTGTGTTCTTTCCTTTTCATTCCGCTTCTTCCAACAAGTCAACTTTTTCTGCAAAGATATTTCATTTTTTACTCTGCTTATAAGTTAGTCTTTCACATAGATTCTAAAGATGTTTTGTCTTAAATCTGTTTATAATGTTTAAAGGTTATTCCTTTTTTAATTTGACAACAAATTCTATTCCCTCCTATCATGCTTTGTTTTACTCCAACTTTTGTACACAACCCTTTTGAGTAAAATGCAACATTTTTAAGTAATAATTTTTTTTTCATTCTAAAATGTTTTTCCACCAACTGAATAAAAAGTCACAAGAGAATGTGTGTTATTTGCAAGCATTTGACTTAAACAACTATCATTTTAATTTTTAGCATATTCTACTTATTACACTTGAGTATTTTCTTCATCTTCCATAAAAAAACAGGGACACAGTAAAATTAAAATTGCAAATTTCTGTTTCAAGTGCTTAACTTCTGATCAAACATCATCATCTTCACTATGATCTGTTTTGACATATTATGCTCTGTGCTCTACAGTGGTGGATTCCAACCTAATCCCCAGGGACCCCTGCCTTCAATGTTGTAGATGCATCTCTGCTCAAGCACAGCTGTTTCAAGTAATTAATCCTTCTCTCTATGCTATCTGCTAAAAATTTTAATCAGTCATTTATTTAAGTCGAATGTGATGCAATGAGACGCCTAAAACAACAAGGGCAGGAGACCCAGAGGAGCAGGTTTGGCCTCTTCTCTTCTATAGTAAGCAGTTCATATGCAAATATCTCTTTCTAGTAAAACAACTGGTTACACACCCCATATAGGCAAAATGCCATCATTGCATTTTGCTTAAAGAAATCAGTATCAGCCAGTCTAAAAGTTTGCTTTTCATCTGTCACAATGATAATTTCCATTATAAAGTCAAATGTTTAACCTTATTTTATGATTAGACCATGTGTTAGTCAGTCTGGTTAGGATCAATACTCTCCTGTTTAAAACATGCTAGGCCTATCACAGTGTGCGAAGTGGGCTCATAATGCAAAAGCAGTTTTTTGTAACCACAACAGTCAAGATTGTAGCTGCAATGAAGCAATGTTTTAATGACGCTCCTCATTATTTCCCTAATAAGCAGTTACCAGTTGGAAATTTCCACAACTGGCAGCTGTAAAAGCTTTTCTTTTTTTATATGTCACAACCGTAGTTATCTGATTTAAAACTGTTTACAAGGGGTCTTTTAGTCCAGCATTTGAAATTGGGCTCTTGCCTGGCTGGTCAGGCTACCTTAGGATACCGGTTTAGGGTCATAACTTTCTTGAAATGCATCTTCTGTCACAGCCATTTTGTTTCCAGACATTTACTGTACATACTATAAAGATAAAAGCACAATTGAAAGTACAAACTGTAAAATGAAGGAAAAAAATGTGTTTTTCTAGAGAGCAATCTTGAAATAAGTAAAAATGTATGACATTTTATGTATTTACCCTTAATTTGAGTAGGTAAAGAACATGATCTGCCAATGTAAGGAGTATTTTCAACCTTAAAATAACATAATTAGATAAAATGCACTTTTCTTTTTGTAAATGTGAATTGCCTTGTTCCATTGACAAAGTGTCTCACTTACCTCCTCAATTCAAGAAAAAAATACACCTATTCCAAGAAAAAAATACTTAAATAGATTTAAATGTTTTGCAGTGCATTTTTTTTCTTAACATTTCGATCCTGTTTTCTTAGCCTGCACAACATTCCCTAGTTTTATTTTTTTCAAACTAGTGAATGAAAAGTCATTCTTTTACTATTGTTTAAGTCTTAGTAAGCCATAAGCCTTGTTGTTTATTGTGTTTTTATTGTTTCACATTTAAGCCATCTTTGATCTCAATAAAGCAAGACATCCTTTTGGCAATACACTGTATCTTCCACAAATATGGCGCCCTTTTACTGTCCTTACATATTTTAATAACGGATAGGACAGCATAAAACTCAATCACAGTAAACTGTTTCAGCAATTATGTCAGCTAACTGATTGTGCAGTTGCTAGATTAAGCATATGCAATGATTGGATCAGTTATTTAACACCAGACCTATTTTTCACCCCCAGAATTCCTAAATTTGGTCGTCACAGTTTTGGAATAAGCAGGGTATTTTTTCTGTTGTTTTCTCTGCTTCTACTGTTGTCCTCATGTTGCTACTTGGGTTATAATGGCTATTTTACATAGCTATCAGTTTATACTTTATCAAATATAATATCTATAGAATATAACTCCCCTACTTCTTCACCATAAACTAATTTCCCTTACCTTCACTCCAGCAGAAGCACACATTCAGCACTTACAAACACAGCACTTGTTTTATATTGTCACAGTTTGAGTCTGACAATACATACAGTATTCTTAGTTTCAAGATTAAAATTAAAGCAAAATTATTTTACAGAAATTGAAATGGAGGTAAAAATAAGCCTTGTGGGTTCTGGTGAGTACCCAAAAGCATCTAATGTGCACATTATAGAGAGACATCACATTAGCAAAAGGAACTGGTTTAATGTAAGTGGATTGCTTTATTTGCTCTTTCTATCTCATATATAAAAACATTATGAAAAAAATTGTAACACAGTCCACCACAAAAATCTTGCTAATGTCATTGAGGGAGTCTTTCATTTCATATTCATTTGCATTGGATCATTTTAATTGCCAGTATACTAATATGTTTTTTGGATTAATATGGCCTTTTTCTTTTAGAAAAGAGAAGGCTAAAATATTCAAATAGTAAAACAAATAAATCAATAAATAAATAGAAAAGGGGGTACCACAGAGATGCACTTTATAGGCAAAGAAAAGTACCTAGTTAAGATGTGGTATAGTGTTGGTGTATCAATGAGCCATTGTTCCCTGTATTATGGATAACAGTTAAACACAGCTTCTGGTTTTGTAGTTTGGTTATTTTTGTTGTTTCGGTTGCAGTGGATTTGTTTGGGGTGTGGTTCTTGGGTAGGCCGCATCTTGTTTTCATTTTAGTAAAAAGGTAAATTGGTTTCACTGTTCCTAAAAAAAAAAACCCATAAATTAAAGATGTAAAATATAAAGCACATTGGAAATACTCACCTCTACTGTTTCCCTCCCCAATCAGGTGTGCACAGGACTGAACCATTGGGGAATTGGGGGAGAGGGAGGGAGGGGTGGGGGTGTGTGTTTTGTCAAATGTATGGTGTTTTCTATGTTAAGTTTTGAGTATTTTGTTGGGTTGAATTTAAATATTTCTGTTATGTCTTGATTGGTAAATGTATTACTTCATTAGCTGTCAATTTAAAACACATTTCTTTTCTTCTTTTTGCAGCAATATATCCTTTTATAATGGTTTCTTCCAACTTAGTTCCACCTCTATATAAGAAACATGTCTGCCATTGTATTGTGTTGGTGTGGTTTGCTTGATGTGCTGCAGCAGAAAAATTAAAGATATGTCAGCTGAAAACTAGTGATGGTGAGATGAAGCCTCATGAGGCATTGAGCTGTTTGGGCAAATTGCATCTAATATCCCCACAGTTCATGAAGCTTCATGTGAACATGTCACCACCTACTGGTGGAGTGCAGAACTACAGTAATCATGATAAATATCTGATTTTTTTTTTTTAATTGTTTTTCTTGTTTGTTTTCCCCCCCCCCCTTTAAGTTCTTTTGAAATTGTTCACGATTTGAGTGTATAACAAGAGTCTTGTAAGGTTTTTTGTGTGAGTAAAATATCTTAGATGAGAACGATCTTTTAAGGTACACAATTTTTCTGTCCTTTTAGTTCATGCAGACATTGAAAGTGCTTGTGCAAATTGGGCATTGATGAGCATAATAAAAGGTGTTAGCCAACAGTTTTTTTCTTTTTTTTATTCTGGTTGGAAGTTAGTTGATCAACCAATCTTTTGGGTATATCAACCCATTGATAAAAAGT